TACATATAGGTCAGAAAATGAAATTACAAAGCCAACGTTATTCAAGGACGCGTGAAACGTATATTAAACATCGCCATTTATTCAGAGGTAGCCGTGGGTGATCCACTCGCATATCCATGAATGAAACTACATTTATTAAAGGGGTAAGATAAATTGTCCAACCCTCTATACGTTATTGTCGACGGTAAGCACTTCTTGTACTATATTAGTAACGCATCATGATATTTTAAGAAATAAAAAAATATGTGAAAGGAATAAAACAAACAAGCGATACACAACAAGTTTAAAGAAATATTATTTCCCTAGGTTAAATATTTATCTGTAATTTATTTGACAATTTAGTTCAAGTATACACGCTTTTCTGTATGTTTTTTTAGCCTACATCTATTTTATAGATAAGCTCGATTTTATAGATAAATACGAGGATAGTTCGAAAAATTCTCGGCCTAACACAGAAATGACATATCAAACTGCTATAATTTTAGACAAGTTTGATCTTGCACAGGGCTACTGTTAAAGTTTGACAAATGCGTTCATTAGTTTTGTTTCGGTTGTATAAAGCAACCAACTTTTGATTCTATCATGACAATGCATCTACTCACACTTCTTCAATCGCAGTCGCAAAATTGCATGAATAGCGCTTCGAATTGGTTTCATACGCACTGTATTCAGATTTAGTCTCGAGTGACTTTTTTCTCTTTCCAAACATAAAGAAATGGCTGGCAGGAAAAAGATCGGCCTCAAATACTGAAGTAATCGATAAACTAACGCTTACTTTGAAGGCTTAAAGAAATCGCATTACATAGATGGTATAAAAAAGTTAGAATATGGTTGGAATAAGTGTATTGAGAGAGTTAAAAGCGACTATTTTGAAAAATAAAAAACTTTTACTAAAAATCATTCAAATCTTTCGTTTTAAGTTTGAATATTTATCTTCCTGGATAGTCGTAGTTAAGAAAAAGAACGTTATCTAAGATAGATTAGAAATTTAAAGTGTCATTTTTCACACTTCCAAAAATTCGAGGTGAAAAGAGTGCGAACTAAGCTAACTTCGTAGCCAGAATAGCTTTTTCTTTTAGCAAAAAGCTCTTCTTGAGCCATTGTGTGTGAAGCAATGCTGAGTGGGCGTACTTGTCGCCGCGATCCCATCTCGAAAAATGTCGTCGTGCCATTTTAGCACCATAGTAGTAGGTCAAGTTTTTAGAAAATCCAGGTGTAAACCTTGGTCAGCTCGTTCGCGTAATCATCTTCGCAAGAAAACGAGCGATTCACCACACCTGGCTCTACCGCAAAAGTTCAATAAAGTTTTCCTCCTAATAGACGTACCGTATACTGGAAACCGGACGTGCCGATAAACTTTGAGAATTTGAAACTTTATAATTCATGATGGACGATACTTGAATTCGATTACTCGTATTTCCATTCAAGTTGCCATGAGGAGAATTAATTCCTAAATTCTTCTTGATGTTTAAAGAGCCTATATATTCTTGGAATATTTTTATTCAAAGTCAAATAATATTCGAACGCCATTGTAATAAATCTGAGTTATTATGTCATTATTATGAAAGAACACTCAAAAAAGATATTCTGCCGATAAGCGGGGAATTCCTCTTAGCATTTCTTTTAAGCAAAAAATCTTACATGAATCAGGCGCGTATATTTATAACACATAATCGTCTATAAAAATGAGGACACATGAGCTATGATCAAAAATAAATTCCTCTATGGAAAATTCTGTTATAATAACTCGAATAGCCTTTGAAATAAAAGGATATACAAGAAGCGGTACGCTTTTTTGTTAGAAAACGTTTGTGTCATTTACGTGTTACCGTAGCTACGCCCGCATGTCAACACATGCAAGACATTCTTTCAGCATTAAGGTTTGCAATCTTAAATCCAGCACCTTATGATTAAATGAAATTTCTCTACTTTGTGGAGTATCTTCTTGATGTTGTAACATAAATGGAAAATCCTCTGACATTAACACGGAACCGTTAAACGGTAGAATATTTTTTTTTAAGTGAATATCGTGTTTCCTATACGATATTTTTAAACATTTATCGATTTTAAATAAACGGTAGAAACAAAATAATATAACAATAATAATTTTTTCTAATCGGTTTTTTAGAATTTTCCTTTTTAAGAGAATTTTCAAAAAAGAAATTTATATTTATAGAAAATATAAATTCTGTTTATAAAATCGTTCTTGCATAAGAAGATCTTATCCTCATCAATCATCTTTTCTGTCATCTGCTCCCTTAAGTATTGCCGTTCATCTTCTTCTGCACATTCTTCTCTTTTGTGAGAAATTGACACTCCTCGCTGCCATCGACGTGGTATCACTTACATACTACATCGTTATTTAACTTTGTTTTTCAACGGATCAGATTTTAATTGCGGCAGAGACACGAGATGAATTAAAACAAAAGAACCTCGCTACGAAGATCGCTGACGTCATCTCAACAATTTTCAAGATAATTATACGAAGCAATGAAGGTGTCGGTCTTCCGAACGTACCGAAAGTTATGTCCTTCTTTCTTTCTCAATCGATATAGCACGATATAATTTAAAAATAACTTTATCTCCGAAAGACGGAATATAATGAGCAGAGTTATTATCGTTACAATAGAAAAGAATAATTGAGAGGAACGAATATAAACTACTCTCGTAATTTTTCAAGTAAGAAACCTTTCTTTTATATCATTTATAAGAGTATTTTTATTATATGTGAAAAGAAATAATTCCGACTATATAAAAGAGTATATTAACGCTCTATCTACTCTATCATATCGTTCTACTTTCCCGTTGAATACTTTCAACAACTTCAGTAATGCGCCATACACCCGTAAGGGGAAAAAACACGGATACTCAATTATCACACATCCACCTAATTCAGATTACCTTCTTCGTGACCCGTCAATGGTAGCTACTTTCTCAGCACTCGCATTGTCTTCTTTAGAATCACGGTGCGATCGATAAATCTCAACGATGTCGGACTATAGACATTCCGCTAAACTCAGCGCTCTTCTATTTTCACCGCCCGCTTCTTTGAGGCGAAGGAGACTTTCGCGGCTATACGACGAACCCTTTCGGGATCAAGTAGATGGGTTCGTTTGAAGTTCGCTAGGAAAAAATCCGAGATTTTTCGCGCCGAGGTGTCCAACCCCCAATCCCGTTTATCCTCTTTCTCTCTCTCTCTCTCTCTTCCTCTTCTGATTATTGTATGGCTTCGTCGTACGGAAACTACTCGACACGGTAGACTCTCGGCGATAGCACCCTTGCCCTTGACTACAGAGCGCGAGAACGCTCGTCTGAGGGGTTTGTTGGCTCTCTCTCTCTCTCTCTCTCTCTCTCTCTCTCTCTCCCCCGCTTGCTCCTTTCTTCCTCTCTTTCTCTTCCGGTAGACAAGGGCACAAAAAAGAAAATGAGGAGCGAAAGGGGTAGAAGAGGAACGATGCAGGCGAGACGCATGTCGTCCTGCCTCCACAGCTTTCACTCTCTCGCTCTTCTCAATGCGATGTGCGTCCGTTCATCCGTCCGTCCGCATGTGCGCACCGCATAGTTGCGTGGCGTCGTCTCTCTACGTGCCGACGTAAAGTGAGTAGAACGCGTCGAGTGGAGGGTGCAGAGTGCTCCGACGGTGCGTCGAGTGATCATTCGGGGTTGGGTTGGTTGGTTAGTTGTTCGATTGTCCCCGATCCTATACCCTAAGAGGCTCATTCATGTAAAGATCGCTGCTGTGTCATGGCATAACAGCAATTCACGAACAACGTTCGTGTAATAGATCGATTAAAATGGACACATATTTCCTCACATTTGTATATAATCATCATCCGTCTTGTTAATATTCTGGTCGACCGTGTTACCGCAAATATTGCAAATAAATTTGTAATAGGATTAAAATTTTGCAGAATGCTGAATAGCACTAGGAAATATTTTCACGTAGTTTCCATACTCGGTTTCGCGCGTTAATTGCTCTTCAGTTTCAATGGCATCGTTATATCTCACGTTTACGCGGGTTCATATCGGGGCGATCGACCTCGAGTGCACTCTTGATGTAATAGACATAGACTCGAAGCGACGTAATCAAACGGTGCATTAAATGCAACGTTACGACTGAAGATCGATTCGCGGAATATATATAGCGGAGTACGATCACGAACGTCGTGCTACGTCAACATAAAGAAGTTGTAGTGGACGCTATATTTTATCGTTATGCGTCGTATAATTGGAATCTACAAGTCGATAGCGGGAAACAGACCGGCGCGATACGTCACAAAATACTAGTCTTTCCTAATTTGTCTATAAAATCATTGAAATTCGTATTCCTTTTCATTATTGTCACGTTATCGCGCAATAACGTCAAATCTGTGGCAATCGGCCAAGTTTACGTCGTTTTATGTCTTCTGTCGAATTACTTGAAGGGGACCTACAATTGAGGTCTAATTCTATTCTATTTTAGAATGCGTAAAGTTCAGTAACACAGACATGTTTTTCTTATACTGTCCTACTTTTTCTGTGCAGATCATATTTACGCACATTTATAATTAACGTGCATTATTTATTATAAATTCATATTATTGTATAATTAATAAATTTATAATATATCCGCCTCTTAAAATTATTACTAGTATTTTTCTTCGTTCTTTTTCTAAGTAGTTAAAGTTAAAAAGTTTAATTATTCATGTCGTACCGTAATTGACATATCAAATTCGAGTTGCAGATTCGAGGATAAAGCGGACAGGAGCTTTACATGTAAATATGTTTGTGAGAGTATAACGCTCTCGTAAGATATTTCATGGAATTGTTAACGCATTCTCAGCCGTTATAAACGCGAAAGAGAACAGAGCTCTCTGCAATTACGACGCAAGACTTTAAGGAGAAATTTCCACGTTTCTGACTTAACTGGTGTTAACACGCGGACCGCTACTTTCGTAGATATTGCACGCTCGTTGTACATCATCTCAATTGCACACAGCTTATAAAGATATGAAACATACCTTTCAGATGTTCTGGGGTGTCCGCTGCGCCGGCTCGCATAATGTCGCTCAGATAGTGTTCCAAAGTCCTCATGTTGTCTAACGGTGAGTTTCCATTAGCCGTCATACGATCCTAGAAAATATCGAGATATTATAAATCTTATATTTGTAATAAGTCCTATATAGAGTTGCCATATCAAAAATTTCAAAAATAGAACTTACAAATAAAAAAATAAACCACCGGACATTTTGCTTGCACTCTCAGACGCATACAAAAATGCATGTTGGTTAGTAAAATTAATCAAAACGATTCATTAAAATTAATCAACGAATAATTATTTCATATCTAATTGTTTATTAGTAGTAACGTAAGAAATTTCTCAATCAATTATTCTTCTCACATTTGACTGTGATTGGTCAATTTCTTATGGAAGGCTTACTACGTTTATTGTAAATCTGGATTAATACAGAGTAACGCGAGAGGAATCAAAGCAAAATATTTAGAAGATTTTCTAAAATCCCGAACGCTTATAATTATTCCGGATGCTTCCGAAAACTCCCTCCCAATGCCTTAAAAAAGAAGATGGTGTCCGGAGAAAAGAGAATGGATAGCAAATCTATTTCTATAACTTCATTATTATTGCATTATGTTTTACGAGAACACACTATTTTTTAAACATTGATATTTAACAAGTGCTAGTTCAAAAGGCAAATGAGCCCTTTGAACTCTCTACTTGTTTATTATTTGATACTGAGAGTTCTGTACTTTTATTAATTTATCGATATTCAAAGTAATTATAAGGCAGGTAAGAAATATAATGTTACAAGTTATTAAAATATTTCAAAAGTTTATAAAATATTTTACATTTATGCATCTAAATACGTGATATCTAAATCTAGAATCTAGTTTTTCTCAAGTCTGTAAATCTTATTTCAAAATGCGTTGGTGGCAAAATGTTTACCTACTTCACTTAATTTTACGTGGACGATGCTCGTGGGCCTCCATTACGATGATTGTTTTAGCTGAGACAAAAATCGAGGATATTCTCGCTATAATATATAAAAAGTCGTGCATAAAACTCCATGAATTTTGGATTTTTCAATTTTCGTCACGAGCCATTTCAAGAAATAAGATGCTTACTTCTGGTTAGGAAAAAGCTTTCTAGCGGTGAGCGAATGTACTGGATGGAATACTGCGTAAACTAGCAGCGCTCCCGGGAAGGAGGACAAGTGAAGCAAAGAACTTGAAAAACGATAAGAGAAGTAACATTCCCGGTGGTGGAAGGAAGTATCTGCCAGAAAGAAGCCACCCCCACGAGCAGCAGGAAAGAAAGTGCAGGGATAAAAGACGGGCTAGAGAAAGACCTGTAATAGGCCACTTGTAACGAATCGGAGAGTGTAGTTAAAGCGGGGATGTATTCAAAAGTCTCCATCCCCGCCGTCGCCACACCCTTAATGCACGTCCGTTTTCCTTCCTTTATTTCGGCTATCACGAAGCCGAGTAGCCGTGTTCCCGGCAAAAGTTTGATAAAGCCCGACACGGCCTTTTTTTCGAACGTCACGCCACAAAATTGTCGACTTCCTCGCGTGGAAGGTTCGATAAAAAAAAGTTTGATAAAATGGGTCCCCTAACTTTAATAATCTTTGCGATCAGATTAATATATTATATTCAGCATCGTCTGTAAATCTTGATGTATGCATCATTATACAAATTCAAGTGAATTATGAATCACCAAGGTATCATTTAATCGTTCGCGCTGATAGCGATTTTCTACGAATGCTACCAAACAGTGAAAAATTATATTTAATATAAACTATATTTTGAGTATTCATAAATTATTTAAAATGTGATAAAAATTGTTATGTTAGATAATAGTATAATGATATTGAATATTAGGAATAAAAATATATAATTTCGATTTATTTACTGGAATAGTGAATGATCGAATCATTTTAAGATTAGTGTAAAACACTTCTTCCATGTTGCTTGAAAAATGCTTGTCAAAAGTAATCCAAACGAGTACGTCTTCCTTGCGCAGCAATTTCTTTGCACTGATTTCTTCTTGTGCATGTAGTACCTCGTAAAAGAAACAGACAAGGAGTTATGGGGACAAGAAATGGGCAAGACATGATAACGAAAGAGAACCGAGATCCTTTGAAGGTGACCAATTGAGAAGAACGGCCAATGTAACGAAAAATAACGGGCGGTGGCACGGTGTAAGAGAAATGTCTATTCGCGCAAATAAATGCTCCTCCTTGGAGCATCGCCGAGTGGACGGAACGTCTTGGAACGTCTGGTAGATATAAATGTTTCATATTTCTACATGTCCGTCCTCTGAAAACATCTATGAAACATCTACGAGCTATGTGCGAAGCTAGAAAATAAATATGCGAACTTTCGATAACACAAGAATAGAAAGATCTCAGAAAAAAGATTAAATTCAAACTTGTAGAAAGATTTGTGTTCTTGTCATATTTCTCAGCACATTTAAAATAATTTATATAAACGTATGTAATATCGCATATTAATGTCATCGCTATTATACTAAATGAATTAAAAATCATACATGTATGTAATTGTTTACTTGATACGCGATATAAATAAATCTGTTTCGGCATGTGATAATCTTCACACGTCTCGTCCATCCTGGACCAATATTGAAATTTACGGCAACGCGAGTGGAGTGCATCCTTTGCTGTTCTGGAAGAAAACGGTTACCTGTATTATATTTTATATATATATATATATATATATTGTACGAATCCGGAACGGAGAGGAACGAAAGGGGTGGACCCCCTGATGTCGAATAATCGTGCCCATCTTTCCACGCTGGCATGGCCGGCGGAGGTGCAAAAGGTGGCCCCACCTTCTCCTCAAACGCGTCCCCTTCGCGCCGCCCGTATAACCCTCTGGTCCTGATGTCTCTTCCTTCCTTGTGCATGCGAGCCCCCCGGACCCCACCTGGGTACCAATCCGCTTCCCTCTCCCGGGCCGTTCCGCGCGCGCGCGTGCACGCACACAGGCGCACGCGCGCATCCACGCATCCACAAGCTCTGGGCTCACGCGCGAACACACACACACACACACACACACACACACCTACATGAACACAGAGGGGAAACGTTTCTCGGCTCTATTCCGTCTCTCTCCAGCTCACGCGCGCGGTGGAAAATCAATATAGGGAAACCAGGAAGCAGCGGCAGGGCGTCGACAGCAACCTCTGTGCAGGCTCCGTCCCGGTACCACCCCTACTCATCGTCCCCGTTCTCTCGTTGTGCATCCCCTCTCCCCGTTAACCCTCTCGCGGTTCCGCTCTCCCACTAATTCCGTTCCCCATGCTGTATTCAGTTTTGCTTGGTTATAGTACTTAGTAATTTCCATTCACGTTAGTCGTTAGGGGTTTTCTATGAAGTTATTCACACGACTGTTTATTGGCGATCGACAATACCGTCTTGACCGTGACTACCACTGCTATTTCGATAACCACCCCTCCTAGGACGACACTGCGCAAATTTTCCCCTACCATTGTAAAGTAGGTAGGTATGCGGGTCGGGACAAAGAGAGGTAGGAAGACTGCCGCGGAATTGGGTGATCCGGAAGGAGACGTGAGGAAAACACCGCCAGCATCGTATGTACTATGTATACGTCGGGAAACGCTAGTTCCCGTACCACGACGGGTTGTACATCACGGAGATGTATCTTCGGAAGTACAACTGGCAATTCGTTATCCCATCCGCGCAAGAGGCACATACCTATATCGTATACCTCCCCCGACCAAACTCGCGAATGTATATTGTATCGACGAATTCACGAGACATCCAAACGCAAGCGGATCCACAACTATCGAAGACACGCAGTACGCACACGCCATGCAATTCTCCTCCCGTGCATCAGTTACGAGGGTTCCATTCGACCCAGAACCCCGCGTCTCCATGGATGTGAGGCGCGCGCGGTCGCGGTTGGCCCAGTTCCGAAGTTGGCTGCTCGTAAAAAGCAACGACACCTCCTCTATTCCACAATTCTCCATGTATATATATATATATATGTATATATATATATATATATATACATATATATATAGATATGATATGTGCTGTGTATGTGAGCGCGCGCTCGTGCGCGCGCGCTAATACTGTCGTTCCTCTCTGCTGACCCCACGTTTGCGAATGACCCGTGGCCTGTCATGGGCACATCCCGACCTGGTCGGGGATTGAATTATGGTGAGCGGAGCAGAGGTGCTGAATGTAATCCAGGAGTGGTCCAGGAACACGGGTGTAAACGCACGTAAATTTTCTAGGGGCTGACATCGCGTGTCCATTCCATTTTGCGCAGTCTCCGCGAGAGCGAGACGGCGCGGGCGTGACGTAATGTCCGCACGACCGGTACGACATTCCCGGCTTACGTTACGCCCGTCGAGGAACGGGAGAAATTTTGTCACTTGTGTCCTTTTAACACAGATATTATCCGATACTGTCGCAAGCACACATCTCACATGCGATGAAAACTATCTCCAAAAAAGGCGTAAAGCAAATTCGTATCTTTATGCTCAAACTCTATGTGTTTCGAAACTTTCACCACGTGTTATAGAACATAAAATTGTATTGTCTGTATAACCACCAATTACAGAAAATGAAATGGTACCTACATTAGCAAATAAAGTAGGGCGTCGAAATGACATCCACACACGAAACGCACAAAAACCGCAGGCTGATGGCCCATCAAACGTTCATTAGGATACACTTAGAGAGTATTAGGATTTCACCCTAGATAAACATGCGATTAATTACGTGATAAATAAATCTATAAAGCGATTTACGAAAGGGGATATAGGAAAATAACGTTCGGAAGTAAGTTGGACGATGATTAATTTCACGAAGGGCAAATAAGACCCAGGAGGACTTAGATGGGGAGCTAGAAGGGGGAAAACGTAAAAAGGGAAGAAACGCGTGAGGGTAGAACGAATATACATATATGCAGACGCTTTCGAGTAACGCGTTTTTCGTCGTGCAGTCCCGTTTAGTCTAGACAGGAACGGTCCCAACCCACCTTTTGTGCAATCCCCTTTTCTTTTGCGACACAATGTGTTTATATTCCACCCTCGCGGAATTCATCCGCGTTATTTTACATGCGTT